ACAAGATTATTAATTATCTTATTAAGCGTGATTACACGTACCAATTCCATTTAAACATGCATAAAAGGTGTGATCAAGCAATAACAATAAATATATCAAGCAATATAATAATAATCATAAATAATAATAATCATAATCAAAATAATCATAGAAATAAACATGTTTATGTTAAAGCATAATAATAGAAAGATTTCAGGAATGATACTAACAAGATTAATAACAAACCCTAGCATGTCACTAAACATATAAAAATCAAAGCTTTAACACTATTAGGAAAGACAATAAAATGCATCACAAGAATCATAATAAGCATATTTGTTATTATAATCTTTTCCCTAAATATGATACTAGGAATTCATTGTTGTCATTCAAAACATCAAGCATCCTAAATGATACTAGGAAACATAATAACAACCTAGACATGATTTCTATGTCATAATATCAATAAATCAATTAAAGCACTTACTTGGACGCCTCGTATCTCTTTCTAATAACAAAATACACGCGTTAGTAACTTCAAGGAAAATAATAAATCAAACAATTAAATTAAATAATTGAAATAGAGATTTGGGACCAATCCCTCATAAATTAAAACCTTTCACGCATAGGGCAAAGGCAACTTCGAATTTGGCTAAGTGTTTCTAGTGCTAATGTATGAGGAATTGTGTTTGTAAAAGGGTTGGTTTAGAAAGAGAGAGAGAATCAAGAAATTCTTGATGAGAGTTGATGATTATTGATGAGAATTAATGATTGAAAAAGGGGAGATATGACCTCTATTTATAGAGAAAAAAGAGGGACGAAGAATAAGAAAAGAATCCGAATTCGAATCGAAATAAAACTCGATGGACAGCAGTTTTTGCGGATTTTGTTTTTTATCATATCTTTTGATATATAAGTCCAAATAAGACATATGATATGTCGTTGGAAAGATCTTGAAGTCTAATTTCCAACCCAATTAGAATCAGATTAAAATATTTTGTAGATAAAAAGATATGGTCGAAATAGTCAAAGGGTGTCAGTTTTTGGATAGAGTTTCATATCTAATTCATATCTTTTTCGTTATAGCTCGGAATTAATATTATAATATATCATTAGAAAGATAATTTCAAGATCTATCCAACCATATAAAATTTGGATAAATATTATGAGGCACGAAAATAAAATCTGGCTGTCTTTGAACATCTTTAAATTCTAATATAATTAGGATTTAAGAAAAAGGAAAGTTTTAAAAAAGGAAAGTTTTTATTTAACTCAAATTCTTTAATCTTATCTTTTCAAAAAGGATAATTAATATCTTTTAGAAACTTATGGAAGGATATAATTAATCCTAATTAGTTTAGAAATAGGATTAAACCTTTGGACCCTCCACATGATCATTGGGCCGTAGGTAAGATCCGGTTCGAGCCCAGTTTAGTATTTTGGCCATAACTTCCTCATTATTCATCGAAATTGGGCTTATAATATATCGTTGGAAAGATATTTTCAAGCCCCATCCAACTACACCATTATTGGACCATTATCATGGACCAAACTAAACTAGAATGCACGTTTTTCAAAAATAGGGTAAGAAAAGAAATATTTTTAAAAACAGAAAGAAGAGATATTTTAATAAAAATATCCTCATCACTAGACTTTTCACACATTTGATCTGTTTGATAATCAAATGACATAAAAAGTATTCATCACTGGGTTTGGTTTTAGGGAGACACAAATGGGTGTCTACACTATGAAATGACATTTTTACCCTCACTTTTTCTTAAACATCCTAATTAAATGATAAACTTGTTCTTATTACATTAATCTCTAAGGTTAATTAATTTCACCTTACCACCATATTCTTCCTAATTCATTCCCCTCCATCTACTTGCAACATCTTCTTTCATAAGTTTTCTCTCTCTTCCTTCATAATCCACCACCTCCAATGGCAACCACCACCTTCAATGGAAACCACCACCATCACCACCGCAACTGCCACCGACCACCACCACCACCATCTTCAATGAAAATCACCACGTTGGTTTCTCTCTCTTCCTTTGCCTTTTTGTTTCCTCATTGGTTATTTCTCAACGAAGGTTTTTTTTATCAAATTTAACCATCAAAACTCTAAATCTAGAGTTTTGAAGAGCATTGATGGTTAAATTTGACCAATTAATGTTGTAATCGATGATAGAGAAGGGTTTGTGGGTTCGTGGTAGGTTTGTTCGTAGTTGCTAGATTCGTGGGTGCGGTGGCATCGTGGGTTCGTGGTGGTGGGTTCTAGGATTTTCGTGGTTTGTGGGTTGGTAGTGGTGGTGGTGGGTTCTAGGATTTTCGTGGTTTGTAGGTTGGTGGTGGTGGTTTCTCGGATTTTCGTGGTGGCGGGTTTAAGGTTGAGTGGTTTCGCTTGGTTGGTGGTGGTGGTGGGTTCTACGGCTTTCGTGGTTGTGTGGGTTTTCCGGGTTTTAAGATGGTACGGTGGGTTGCGGCGGCTGGGTTTGCTCGGTTCGTGGTGGTGCTGGGTTGCGTCGGTGGTGCTTCTGGTGTCGGATTCGTCGATTTCAGTTCTGGGTGGTGGTGGTGGGTGGTTTCGGTGATGCTGGGTAGTGGTGGTGGGTGGTTTCGGTGATGCTGGGTGGTGGTGGTTTGTTTCGGTGATGTTTGGTGGTGTCGGTGGTGGTGGGTTATTTTATTAAATTTTGCTTGAATTTGTTTTTTTTTTCTTTTATTTTGGTTGGATTAATAGTTAAGCATATACCCTTATTTTTCAATAATCAGGCTTTCAATCTTTTGCCTAGGTATTCGCAAACTTGTACTTTGTTGCGAGTAACTTGAAGCGGAGGTAGTATTTTTTATCGATTTGCTCATTGGAAAATTCCCGTGAAGGTTTTAAAAAATAACCCAAAATTATCATACGAGTTAAATCAAGTAATTTAAAAATAAGAAACTCCACTTGTTCATTCGAGTAATCTTTACCGGAACAATTTCTAACACACAAGTTGATAAAAAAATATTGTATTAATAAGTGGAGAGTGGGCCCCACAAAGGAATTTGTTTATGGCAAGAAACTAAGGGTATTCACAAAGTTTTACATGCGCCTTGTCGCACCGTACCGACTTCCTTGAAGCTCCAACCCACACCGTCGTCCTCGTTTCTCTCTCCTTTTTTCTTCTCCGATCTACAGCTATCGTTGTCATGGGTTAGGGTGGTTTCGTTGTCGTGGGTTAGGGGCTGATGTGGGTATGGTTATGGGTTCGGTCAGGGTTAGGGTGGTTTTAGGGTGTGGGTTCGGGTTCGGTCATGGTTAGGGTTACGGTGGTTTTGGGTAATGGTTTTATGTGGGTGGATCTGGGTTAAGGGCCGGTGGCATTATTAGGGGCTAGGGCTGGTGGCGTGGGGCAGTGTGTATGGGAGTTGGTGATGGTGTGGTGGAGTTTAAGCTTTGAGGTAGTTAGAGTTTACTTACTTGGTTAGGGGTTACTAGGGGGGTTACTAGGTCGGAGGGGTTACTTGGTTAGGACAGGGGTTATTTGGTCCGGACAGGAGTTACTTGGTCGGGGTTACTAGGTTTGGTCAAGGGTTACTAGGTCCGGTTAGGGTTACTCGATCAAGGGTTACTAAACCGGTCAAGAGTTACTAGTTGGGTCTGGGGTTACTAGATCGGAGGGGTTATTGGGTCCCTGCCACAACGTGCGGCTGACCGCATCAGAACCTGCTGAAGGGTATTTTGGGTTTGCAATGTGGAAAGTTCTAATTGAAGGGACATAACTAGGGGTGTCTATTCGGTTTTCGATTTAGATTTAGGCCAAATCCAATCCAATCCAATCCGAAATAAAATTCGGTTTTTGATTTTTAAATCCAATCCGATCCGAATTTCTCATGAATCCAATCCGATCCAATCCGAATTAAAATTCGGTTATTTGGATCCGATCCGAAAATCCTAATTAAAATACATTGTAACTTTTTAAGGAGTTAAGTGATAATAAAAATGCAATTATAAAAAGCCTTAGTCTTAAATTCATAGTTCTTATGATTAATACAAATATTAAAAACATAATTTATATTAATGTAATTATCAACAAAATTTTACATGATTATAATGTATCCTTATTTGTAAAAGCATGGTTTCACATTTCGATTAATTCGATTTTTTTGGATCCGAACAAGGTCAATCCGATCCGATCCGATCCGAATTTTCAAAAAATTTCAATCCGATCCGATCCGAATTAATAATTCGGTTTGGATTGGATCAGATTTCGGTTTTTATCCGAATAATGGACACCCCTAGATATACAAGTGAAATTTAGAGGGTTATTGTCTTGAAAAATCCTTTATACTCACATGTTTTGTTTTGTTTTTTTTTTTTTTTAAATTATTATTATTATTATTTAAAAAATTATACAATAATACACATATTTATCCTTTCGTAAGAAAAATTAATCCTACTAAACCTATACCACTAACAATCAAGTTTGTCTACCAAAAGGTACGATGAAGCCGTGAAGGTAAAGGAATATCTACTTCCAATGACAATAAGCTCACAGATGGTGAGGTTCAATATAATTTAATCAAGCACTTAGTATGGACTGAAACCTAACCACTCAGAATTGATCTCCGAATTCGGATTACCCTAAAGGATAAATCGGGTGGAACACCCAAAAAATAAAAAATAAAAAAAATTGTATCCTCCATTGAAGCTGAGGTAATATATTTTTCTTTTTGTAACAATGAAATATTAATTTTACAATCTAGGATTTATTGTTAATTTTATTGTAGTATGCTCAATTTAAATTCGATAATTGAACTATTGGCTATTATTACTAAGGTTATGATCTCGTTATGATAGCTCATAACGATTGATTGGTATAAAGATTGATTTTGTTGCTAGAGAACTAAATTATGTGCCTTTTCGAGATTAATCGTACAACTCAATTAAATTTATCTTTGATATTTGGATGAAACTATGAAATTGGACCTTTTTTTTTTCACCTAAAAATATGTATTGCTGATCTATATTCTTTATTATTTATTTTCCTAAAAAAAAGAGATGAATAGAGAAGAACGAGTAGCTTTAAAGATATGTGAGAAGAGGATGTGCATTATGAGCAAGAATGAAAGCTTGGATCGGATCTCATGGTTGCCGGAACACGTTCTCCATGTGATACTAGATAAACTTCCATTGAAAGATGCAGCTCGAAGTTCTGTATTGTCCAAGACCTGGAAAAGTGTTTGCAGTTCATACCCCATGACACCCTTCGTAAATTTGGATCATAATTTATTTGGACTGAAATCGCTTGAAAGTGTGCAAGAGCCTGATATTGATGAAATAAGGAAGAATTTTATAGATTTTGTGGATGATGACTTGTTCCAACTGGTACAAAATAAATTACGCGTACATAAGTTAGCATTGTATGTGGCAGTAAGTGATTCCATATGTTTCTCCCGCGTTGATCACTTGATTGAGTTGGTCACTAAAGTAAGTATGGTTGAAGAATTGTGCTTGTTTGTACAGACAAAAGACGCAGGGTGGAAGGAAATCGAAGAGGATTATATTTATTACAGCATCCCATTCTCTGTTCTGGCTTCTAAAGGATTGCGTTCTCTTAATGTACATGGATGCAAGTTTTCTAGCAGCATGTCGATTGCCTTTTCTTCACTGCAGCACTTGTCCTTAACATATGCAGTGATCGACGAGGATGATGTAATGAATATAACGCGCTCTTGTCCAGCGATTGAAACTTTAGAGTTTGATCATTGCACATTTTGGATTGAAACCCTTGAGCTTTCGGTATTTCCTAGGCTAAAGAAGGCTGCTTTTCTTGAAAATTATAATTGGCTCTATAATATTATTGTTGTTGATCACACTAGTCTTGAGAGTTTCAAGAGTGATGCTCTTACGATGTGTGAGTTCACTCCATCTGGTTGTGGTAGTATCAGAGAGCTGATCTTGTCCTGTCAAAGCTCCGTTAGTCCGCTTGATCTTTTTGTAAACCTAGATACCTTTCCACTCCTTGAGGAAGCCGAGCTTAGTATAGAATTGAGTTGTTTGGATGGTGCAAATACATTTAGAGCAGCTAATCATCATCTGAGGAGATTATTTTTGTCTATTCGTAAATTTTACGAAGGTATTCAAGTGAAGAAGATCGATATTGATTGTCCAAATTTGGAGTTCTTCGAGTTTCATGGTGGTGATCCGAAACAGATTTTCATCAACTGTCCCAGCCTAAGGCAGTTCCACTATGTCGGGGATAAAATCCCAGTGTTGCCAGTGTTTAACTCATCACCTGCGTGTTTGGAGGACATTTATTTTCGACTTGGTATGATTTGCAATTTCACCAGCCAGTGGTTTATCCAGTTGAGGGGATTAAGTGAACTGATGGCTCAATTGGGAAGTGTGGTTCGTCTCAATCTAGATTGTTTTGTACAGAAGGTGATTTTTATCTGAAATCTTCTCTGTTTCTTAAAATTTTACAATATATCAGTAGTTTATTTTGTTAACCGCAGGCTTTTAATTTGATTTTGCCAGGTTGATTTTGCTCCCAAGGAATTTGGAGCTAATGAGGCTTTACGACAGCAAAATGTTCACTTAGAAATCTACCTGCGGCATCTTCATATTCCGGTTGGATTCGTTGATGGCTTGATTTGGAGCACTCGTGCAACCACCTCAACTATTTGTGGTCATCAACGTGATTTCGTCAAGGTAATAGATCATTCATTCACTTGATAAGTTCAAATAATAGACGACAATGCTTACTTTATGTTTGATTTTTAGGAAATGTGTCAAAAATTAGCGAAGAAATCTCAAGATGAAAATTGTGAGAAAAGTTGCGACAAATGTTGGTGGCATCACATACAAAAATTTGAAGTTGAGAACTCGATCAAAGAGGAAGACGTTACGTGTAATTTGACAAGTCTTGTAGAGACGCCCCTGTCGTTTAGACGACCTAAGACTTCTTTCAAGCTAGGGTGGCGCATAAATCAATATAATAATGCATCAAGCCTTCTATGCATTTAATAGGCTTAATTTGGAGTCAAATATTGCATTATTAACTCTGATTGTGAAGGACTATATTTATCTATTTTTAATAAAAAATATTTATTTGAAAATACAAATAAAACGCGTATCGCACGAGCTTCATGTAGTATATGTTTATTTTACAACAATTTTTACTAAACTCTTTTATCATAAAACTAAGTATTCTAATGCAACAAAAGTAAAATAATCTTTCTAGTTTTGAATTTACAACTTTAACCAATACAAAATGTTTTTTTTTTATCTTGATTTGAATTGTATAAATAATATGTACAAAGAAGTTGTCATTTAATTAAATACATCGTATAGTATGCGTGGTGTTGAATTAAAATTTCATGACAATGTATGTGTGTGTGAAAGTATTAAAGTTTGGCTGGGCTATGGCTATGGAAAAGATTTTAAAAGAGTCAAATGATAATGATTGTTTAGGTTGAGTAAGCTTAATAATAGGGCGCTGATATTGCCAAGGCAAAAGAGCCACTTCCAAGGCAAATTATCTACCCGCAGCACGTAATTTTTGAGGATCTAAATATGTCAAACTTATTTATTCAATAAAATGCTTTGTAATATTTTGTTGCCTTAATATTAGTAGCTAAATATTCCAATTAAAATCTCTTTAATTCAACTCCAAATACGATTGATACATCTTCAAGGAGTTCTTCATTCACGATTGATACTGTGTACTAAACAAAACTAACATGTATGCACATTTTCTTCCATCATTATATGATTATCAACAATCTGCCAAAGAAATAATTAAATAATTAAGATGCAATATTTAAAAACCTTTGTCTACTTTAAAAAAAATTGAAACCAATTCTTAAGAATGTCCAGCAACTAGATTTTAAAAATTTGAGAATTAATTTGAGAATTAAAGTACCCCACGTATACAGACATAGTGCTATTTTTTATAACCCAAAAAAAAAAAAAAAAAAAAAAAATCATTAATGTAAATTTTATACCAAAATTTGTTTTCATAGCAAATTTAATAATAAAGGTATGTAGAACATCAATACGTTTTAAGTTGAGATGAAAACACCTTTACAAACTAATTAAGGGCTTGATAAATAAATGAAATTTACTATTAAAACAAATTTAGAGGTAGCTAATAGTTGTAAAGCTTCGATAATGGTGTCTCTTCCAATAAAACGTCAATTTTAGTGATTGTAAGAAGATTATACGTATGAGTGCATCCTCTGAAATTTTTCTTCTCAAAGGTGTTAAATAAATTGTGTGGAAAAATAACACCCAAGGGATAAAAGGATTGAAAGGTTCAGCTTCTGCTTATTGAAATAAGTTCTGTAAGAATTGCAGCTTCTCAACACATAACAATATTTTTGCATTTTCCCCATAATTGCAGGCTTGCAGGGTAAAAACCAAAGACAAATCTAGTAAGCACAACTTCAAGCATCAGAACAGCTGAAGTTGAATCTTCAGTTACTGAACTCCCACGATTCACTACAACATTAAAGGTCCCCTTCCTGATCTCATTTATCAGGGTAACAAAAACTTCAGATCAGATGTTTAAAACATCTATCTTATTGGCATATAAAAATACAACATTATTCTCTTCATTATACATTTAACTCTGCCGCTTGGAGTGCCAATACACGCGCTTAAGATTTTGAGACCTCATGAATAGCATTTGCCAAATATTCGACATTCTTTGTTGTAACACCAGCCATACTGCATCGTCAGATAAAGGCATAAGATAGAGCTAACATTTGCCACAAAGAACTAGCAAAGGTGGCTGGAAAAAACTGATTGTAAAACAGTATTACCTGATACGGCCATTACGGGTCAAGTATATATGGAATTCACTGGTCAATCGATCAACCTGCTCAGGTGCCAACCCACTATAGCAGAACATACCAATCTGTTCATCCAAATAATAGGTTTATGAAATATTCTGACCGATGAGACATGTTTAATAACATAATTAAATGCATCATTTTTGCTGATTTCAAGTTCACAACTTTTTCTACCTGTTTAGTGATGTGTTCCCACGATAATGGTGACCCCAACTTCTCAATATTTTCACGTAAAGCTGTTCTCATTCCAATTATACGATCTGCCATGACCTGAATTCATTTTATTAAATGACTTGATTGCAATTAAATTCACAGAATGAGATTCTTCATGATGATGGCATGAAAAGAACATGTGGTATATGGTACAAGATATCTCATGTTGGAATTCTCCTTTTGTACTACCTGTTCTAACATCATATGTGTATATAATCAATCCATCCTCTCTTACCAAGATGTGCGTGAGTGGGTGTGTAGAGAAAGAAGCATAATTTGAACAAGACATAAGAAATGTAACATTTTATGCATCCAAGCAGCAGCAGCTTAGAAATGAGCTAGCTTCATTGATCTAACTGAAGTGTTTAGTCCCCTCTCCCCAAGTTCGTATGGGCAAAAAAGCCCCACATGCAACTAAAATACTAGATTTGAATTTAATGCACGATTTCATTATGTGCAAATTTTTCTTTAGGCGTCACCTAATTCCTCAATACAAATTACCTTTTATGTTTCTTTAAAGTCCCGTTTTCAATTCCATTCCATCCCTAGCTATCAGATTTACAGCAAGGTGTAAAGGCCGTACACGCAACTAAAATACTAGGTTTGATGCGCACTTTCAATTTGTTTAAATTTGTATTAACTAGGCATCACCTAATTCCTCAACACAAACTTTATTTAATTTTGGTTAAAAGTATTGTTTCCCTTTCCATCCCATCCCCTGCTAACGGGTGGGTTTACAGCAAGGTGCAACGGCCCTAACCTAGATGGGAAGATCCTAAATTCTAATGTATTCAAATATTTTGTCCCAACTTATTTTATAAAAACTCATTTTGTCTTGGAAAATATACATACATATATATATCGAGCAAATAAACGTATTTTGGTTGAAATACACTTAGTGTCGTATGAAATAGTACGAGACGATTTTATCTCTAAACCAATCTGCAACTTTTTCCTGAAATAAGTCAAAATAAGTTTAACACAACATGGCCCTAATGCTCTAACAGGTAATTAAATTTCATCCCCTCAATGTTACTCTTATTTTTAAAGTGCATGGTCTCTCATCTCTTTAAACTGATACTGCCATAAATGCCATTCACCCCAAGTAGAGCTGTCAAAAGCTGACCCGACCCGGACTCGATTATTAACTGACCCATCTGAACCCGAAAAAATGGTGACCCAAACCTGATCTGACTTGACCTAAAACCAACCCTAGACCCGAATTGACTCGAGTATGTGAGACCCAAACCCGAACATGAACCGACCCGGAGATGACCCGACCCGAATGTAACCTGTAAATTATTGACTTGAACCAAACCTGACTTGAACTGAAATTGACCTAAACCTGTTTTAACCCATCAAAACCCGAATTTAACCCGACTTGTTGCTAACCTCGACCTGAATTCAACCCGACCCGAATTTAACCCGACCTGTTACAAACCCGACCCGAAATCAACCCGACTCATTCCTAACTCGACCCAAATTCAACCGACTTGTTATTGACCCGGCCTGAATTTTACCCGACCTATTACTAACCCGACCCAAAAATTCAACCCGATCTATTACTAACCCGACTCGAAATCAACACGGCTTGTTATTGACCCGACCTAAATTCAAGGCAAATTGTTCCTGACCCGATTTCAAATCACCTTAAAATGCAAGTTAGACTGCCTAATTATTGTTAATCAAACCATTTTGTCTAGGGAGACCAAGTCGATCCAGGCCAGCAAAAGAAAAGAAAGAAGCATCATCCCCAAATTTAAGAGTAAAATATAGTATATATTTGTTGTATGGTTAAAGGAGATAATTATCTTCCTAAATTATAGACTACAATTCCCTCGTATGTTACATACATATTACAGTCAAAGGAAATAATTAGCTTGATAGAAATGATAATTATCTATTTATAGTTAGTTGAACCCGAATATGACCTGACTTGGAAATGACCTAACCCGCAAATTATTGACTTGAACATAACCCGACTTGAACTCGAGAATGACCCGACTTGGAAATAACCTAACCTGATTATAACTCGCAAATTATTGACTTGAACCGAACCCGACTTGAACCCAAGAATGACCCGACCTGATTTTAACCCACAAATTATTGACTTGAACCGAACCCGACTCAAACCTAAGAATGACCCGACCTGATTCTAACCTGCAAATTACTGACTTAAACTGAACCCGACTCAAACCCGAGAATCACCCTAACCCGTTTTAACCCAAATTAAACCCGACCTATTGTTCACCCGACCCAAATGTAACCTGACCTGTTATTAACCCGACCTTTACCTAACCCAAACCCGATAAAATGTATGACCCGACGTGACCCGACTCAAGCATGACCCAACCCGAACCCGAGCCGTATAGGTTACGGCATTAACCCGAATTGACCCGACCCACTCTTACCCGACCCGTTTACCCGAATTGAAAGCTCTAACCCCAAGTATTAAAAATACAATGTCACTTACATGCATTGACATTCAAGTAACCAGTAAAGATATAATGCAAAATTTGTGAACAAAACAACCAATCAAGTAGCCTAGGCATTCCTTACCTTAACTTCCTTGAGCCACATATTTTTTAGATCTGGATCACTAAGGATAATTGAAACAAGAAGGGCACCGTGAACAGGGGGATTGCTGTACATAGGTCTTGCGATTTGTTGCAATCGAGTTTTTACTGCCACAGCTTGTTTCTCGTCTTCACAAAGTACACTGCAGAATTGGGATCAGAAAAGAAGTCAGAGAAAAAGAATAAGTCTACATGAAGTTCACATGGTACATCACAAATCAGATACTCACTATGGAGATCAAGTTAGGTGCTTTCCCTGTTTCAACATTTTGTTTCAATATATACATGCATTGCCTAGCAGTCGGATTTTTCATCATGTCTTATTGTCTTGCAGTTAGAGTTTTTAACATGATATCTGGAAGACAGAAAATAAAGACCCATACAGATGATTGGTAAACCTATGATATTATCAACTTAGACAAGAG